CAACATAATTGTGAAGGCCTTCAAGGATCAATGTAGAAGGTATCTGAAAGAGACAAAGATTCCCCAAAGCATGGAAATGGTCTCAAACCTTATCAATAATGAAGAATGAAAACTAGAGATGCTTATAAGTACCAGGCGAAATGCTTGCTCTTCCATTTATACAAATTCTTTATAAGACTCAGCTGTATAATAGTCAAGGACATCCTTGTAGGGAATGAGCAGAGTTTCAAAGGCAATATTCAGTACTGGACCAAATATTTACCATTTTGCAATTCACTGAAAGATGGAGAAAATATACAATCCCACTTTGATTGTTGTATGTTGATCGTGAAAAAGCGTTTGATTTGGTAGGGCAAGATGTTGTATTACAGTCTCTTTTATAACAAGGCTTCTTCCATCCATATGTCAAAATCATTTAAGATTCCTTGAGAGATTAAACAGCTGAAATAGTCCCATTCAATGACCCTCTGATCTTAAATATCAAATGAGATATAAAACAGGGAGATATATGGCCATCAGGACACTGATGGAGGACATCTCATGTGGAGTCCTGAGTGGAGAGGAATTTCCTGTGGATGGTGAGATCCTCTAAATGTTCCTATTCTGAGTGACCCTAGTCAAGTCACCTAACCCTGTTTACCTCAGTTTCTCATCTGTAAAAGGAGTTGGAGAAGGAAATGGCAGACCCTAGTCGAGTCACCTAACCCTGTTTACCTCAGTTTCTCATCTGTAAAAGGAGTTGGAGAAGGAAATGGCAAACCACTCCAATATTCTTGCCAAGAAAACCCAAAAAAAGGGGTCACAAAGAGTAAGATATGACTGAAATGACTGACGTTGTGTGACGTTAAGCCCTTGGACATTTCCTAGACTCCTGTAATCACTCAAAGGAATTTGGCCTAACCATCAACACAAGAAAGAACAAATGACAAAAGGACATGTATTGTCCAGATGACAATGTATGTTCAGACAGATAAGCCTGGTGTGTGTGTGTGTGTGTGTGTGTGTGTGTGTGTGTGTGTATGTGTATTTGGGACAGTCAGTACTGCAGTTGAATATGCCCAGAGTTGAATAGGAGAACAGTGGCTTTCAATATCTTCAGGAAATCCCTGAGCTCCTTTAATGTACCCAAGTCTCCTGTGAAAACAAAGGCCCATCTTTTTAGTACTAAGATTCTATTGTTTTTACATGTAATTGGGAAATATTTAAATAAATAAAAATATGTTTTAAAAATACCAACTGTTCTACTGCTGTTGCAGTGTAGCAGAACAATGTGGAATAGAATAACCTCTGAGGAGTTAAAAAGGATTATTCAAAGAGAATCATGGAGAGGCAAGAGGGAGGTATGAATAGACTGGGACACATAAGCAATGAGGGACTCCAAAGAAAAATAGCAGGGGGGCAGCTAGGCACAGTGGATAGAGCACCGGCCCTGAAGTCAGGAGGACCTGAGTTCAAATCTGGCCTCAGACCAAACACTTGACACTTACTAGCTGTGTGACCCTGGGCAAGTCACTTAACCCCAATTGCCTAAAAAAAAAAAAGAAAAGTATGAGGAATGGATGTCATCAAGTAACTGTGTTGTAGGGCTGAGCTCCACTGGTATCATTTTGCCTTGGATATCGGGAGAAATTGAGCAAGGTCTCCAACTGGTTGGATGGACCCCCAGTGGTAATCTTATAAACTTCTGGGTGGTGCCATAGCTGGACTGGCCCTTTGGTAGCTTTGTGGAAGATATATTGGAGAGAACAAAGACTTGAGGAAGGGAGAACAATTAGGAGGCAATTGCAATAGTCCAGGCAAGAGGTGATGATGGCATGGACTAGAGTGGTGGACTTGTGAGTAGGGAGAAGTAGAGAGATGTGAGAGAGAGAGAGCGTGGAGGTAGAATCAAGAAAACTAGAAATTGGATATGTAGCATAAAGGAGAGGGAAGGTGCCTCCAAGATTGGGAACTGGAGTGACTGGGAAGAGGGAGGTGTCCTAGACAGAAATAAGAAAGTCAAGAAGGGGATTTTATATACACACACACACACACACACACACACACACATACATATATACACACATGTATGTATGGGTACATATGTGTGTTTATATGTATATTATACACACATATACGTGTGTGTATGTGATAATAAAGGGAGAAAGGTAAGTTCTGTTTTGGACATGTTTGATTTGAGATGCCTTTGGGATATCCAACCCAAAATGTCCAGTAGGCAATTGATGATCCAGGACTGGAGTTGAAGAGAGACACTAGAGCTTGAAATACAGACCTGGGAATCATCACCAGCTTGGTGGAGTGGAGGGAGGGAGGGAAATGAGAATCAGTCTTGAGGGAGTAGAAGGGGGGATGAGTCTCAGTCTTGGGGGATTGGGGGAGAATAATCTTGGAGTGGAGAGAGGATGAACCTCAGTCTTGCTGTCTTTACTCCCTTCCCCTCTTGGTTAGAGGAACATCTTGTGAACTTTGGTGTTCTAGAAGCTGGCGGCAATGTCTGTCCTGGGAGCCTAGGACAAACTAGATATACTGAAGAAAGAAATCTTCAAGGACTCTACCAGTGTGTGGCACAGCTATCCTTATTTCCCAAATTAAACTCAGAGGCTTCTCAGGGTAGAAAACAGAAAGGAGTTTTAATACAATCTCTTGAGAAAGGGCGACTAACACTGAGATAAACTTTCAGTGTCAGACCGCCCGGAGCACAGATGAAACAAGTTTTTATAGACCCTTACCGCAATTTCCCCTCCCTAACCCCCTTCCCCTTATCCCATTGGCTGGGCTTCGGGGTGCACAATCTATTCACGGACACCTCCCCCAGTAACAGAGAACAAAGGCCGTTACACAAGTTTGCCCAGAGACAAGAAAAGGCGGGAAGTTTTGCAGGGACAAGCAGTTCAGGTTGGGGGTAGGGCTATTCTTTTTTGCTAAGTATTTAAAAAAAAAACAGAGTCTGAGAGGGGGAGGGTTTTGAAAGCAACAATACCAGAACCATTAACAAGAACTAATGACCCTTTGAGGAGGCTTCACTTCTGAGAGATCATCTCTCACACCAGGAACTCAGCAGAAAAGCTAGACCCTACCTGAGGGGGGCACCTTGAGGACTCCAGCAGAAGGACTTCCAAAAGCCTTGAGTTACTCCTTTTGCCAAAGGTGCTCTAAGCTTGACCCACTTCCTTATGGATTTTGTGTGTATTGGTGCAGGGATGTGTCACAAACATTGGGGGAAGTTTTGTGCCTCTGGAACCCTGAGGGGGCCTGGGTACTAGACCTGACAGCTTCAAGGAGGCGGTTGGAAGAGTGAGTCCAGACCTATATATACTACCTATATTAACTGTGTTTTAATATATCATGTCACCAATAAGTCTTAAAGTTGTTCCATCAAGAGCAGCATGTTTCCCCAGTGAGGGTAGGGGCAGAGTGCTGAGAGAGATTGCCAACGTTTTAACGTTTCAGAGTGATTTCCCATTTTCTTTAGTATTCCTAGATCAATACTGAGTTGCAGTCAGTACACCCGCATCAAGGCCTGGGGGCCAGCTCTAACGGCTGTGGATGAGTGCCCTCTAGCGAATAGTGGGATGGAAACAGTGGCCTTTCGTAGCGCCACTTGGTGGTGAAAATATGTATTACACACCCTTTGCTAGGGATGGAGAGAAATCTGCTTTTCAGGAGGTTGTAGGGGTGTGGACTGCTCTGGGAGCACTACCACGTATACAATTTAATTCACATCAACTGTCCCATGTGGGCTCTCCTTTTTTAAAATTAATTTTTATTAATTTATTTTGATTTATCAACAATCACTTCCATATGCTTTTGAGCTTTAAATTTTTCTCCCTCTCCCTCCCCACCTCTCCCCTCAAGACAGCTCACAATCTGATATAGGCTATACATATACATTCCTATTAAACATATTTTCACATTAGTAATGTTGTAAGGAAGAATTAGAACCAATAGAAGGAACCACAAGAAAGAGGAAACAAAACAAAACAGAAGAAAAAAAAAGCAAATAAGATGCTTCAATCTGCATTCAAATTTCATAGTTCTTTCTTTGGATGTGGATAGCATTTTCCATCATGAGACCTTTGGAGATGTCTTAGATCTTTGCATTGCTGAGAAGGGCTAAGTCTATCAACGTTAGTCCCTCGCACAAAACGTGGCTGTTACTGTGTACAACGTTCTCCTGGTTCTGCTCACTTCACTGGGCTCTTTCTTCTGAGGCAGCTAGGTGATACAGTGGAAAGAGGTCTGGGTCTGGAATCAGGAAGGGCTGAGTTCAAATCTAGCTTCAGACACTTACTAACTATAGGATCCTGGGCAAGTCGCTTAACCTTGGTCGGCCTCAATTTCCTGTAGAATGGGGAGAATAACAGCCATATTCACAGATTGTTGTGAGGATCAGATGAGGACGTGCTTCTAAAATGCCTGGCACACAGGCATTTCTATAAAGCAGCAAGCCAGTTCAGAACCTAGGAATTAAAATACCTACAACTGGAGAAGTCAGGGAGGGACAGCCACGTCCCTGAGTTTGGGAGAGTGCAGGGAGTTGAGTGGGATGATCATCTGTCTGGAGGAACTGGACAGAAGAAGAGCCTTAGTCCTGTGGAGGAAGGATATTCCCTCCCTTCTGATGTGTTCAAGATTTTTCCCCCTTTGTTTTTTCGTTTTATTTTCCTTTTGAGGAAATAACATTAGCAATAATAATAGTAATAATATTTCCCATTCCGGCCTCAGTTTCCACCTCTTTGGACTTGATCATCTCTGAGGTTCCTTCCATCGCAAAGTCCCTGGACCCCAAAGGGTGGCCTGGCCAACCCAAGGAGAGCTTGGGCGCCCGGGGAAAGGATGCTCCAAGACTGGGGAGGGATGCAGAAAGCACAGGTGAGAGGCGCCGCGCTCTTCCGCACACCGGCTAGGGCGCGTTCTGCCGCTGGGGAGCGCTCCGAGCTCCCGCTGGCCCGGTGGAAGGCTGCCGGGGCTGCGGGTGTCCCCGCCCCGTCCTGCAGCTGCCGGAAATGACTCTTTTCCCGGCGATTCTGCGGCCTGGCTGGGGCTGCTCCGAATGCATCGCTGCGCAGGGAAGGAGAGCTAAGCACGCGGAGGGGGGCGCCGCGGAGCCGGTCCGGGGTACGGGATGGGAGTGGGGCGCCGCGGAGCCGGCCCGGGGTACGGACGGGAGGGAAGCGGGGCTAGGACGTGGTCTTTGCACCCGTGAGAGTCCCTAAAGGCAAAGGGCAGCCTACGCCGGGGCGCCTGTCCATTGCCTTGGCTCCCCGTTGTCCTCGGGACTGCATGACTCACTCCTTCCTGCTGGGCTTTTCAGCCCCTTCCCAGCACCTCTTCTTCCAGGCCTGGGGAGGTGGGTGGGGGGCGGGAATTCGAGTCCTTTGAGCCACGTGGGGAAGGAGGGACTGACCACCTGGCCGCAGGCACCCCTAGGTGCTATGGATGAGACACCCAGTGGATCAGGCCGTCCACGTTTTCGTGGCTGCTCACCATCTTGCGTTCAGTCGTTTTTCAGTAGTGTTCAACTCTTCTAGACCCCATTTGGGGTTTTCCTTGGCAGAGATACTAAAGTGGTTTGCCATGTCCCTCTCCAGCTCATTTTACAGATGAGGAAACTGAGGCAAATGGACTTACCCAGAGTCACTCTGCTAGTAAGTGTCTGAGGCTGGATTTGAATTCATGAAGATGGATCTTCCTGATTCAAGTCTAGTCTGTCTACTGCTCTATTCACCCCTGCACCTACCGGTCCCACTGTCCTGGGAGGTAGATGCTATTTAATCCCATTTTACAGGTAGGGAAACAGTCTGAGAGATTAAGCAGTGTGCCCAGGGTGACACAACTAGGTAGGATTCAAATCCAGATCTTCTTGATGGGATGGTAAATGAATGATTGGAAAAACATTTATTAAACACTTGCATTGTGCACAGCGTCGTGTTAAATGCAATACAAATAGAAAGGAAAGATGAGGCCCTGCCCTCAAGGAGCTGGAATTTTAAAGTGGGGGAGACCATGGCTGTGGAAGGTAGTCACTCACTCTGTTATTCAGCCTCAGCGTTAGGGAAACCTGCTGGGGGGGTGGGGGTAGGGGCAGGCTGGGAGGGCCTCTGCTGGGTTACCTCATGCCTCTGTCCTGGCTGCCTTTCCAGGGTCCCCCATTTGTTCCTTGCCTTTAGCCTCCCTCCCTCCCTTCCTCAGACAGGTAAATGCTTTAATGAAATGCTTTTTACAAGGCATGTATTGATTGTACGTGCCAAAGGAGAAACTAAACATATTAATATCATTCAGGAAACATTGAAATATGTTATATTTAATATAACATATACTTCATAGTAATTTTTACTTCAGTTGTTTTGAATTGATTCAAAATTTTCATTTTTGCCACACATATAATACATATATATATACACACATACATATATGACACAATTAAAAAAACCCAAAACAAAATGCTTTTTATTTCTACTTTTTGTTCTGTACAAAACAGGGGAAAAAGATTCCTCGAACCATTTGAGCAAAACAACTCAGAAGCATAGTTGCAATTTCACACATTTGTAATTGAACCTCTCGTCCAAAAAAGAGAATGGCGGACATTTTATGAGTCCCTTTCAAGCCATGATTATCAAAATCAAATAGAAATGTATCCCTGTTGTTCATTTTGTGACTTAGAAAACCACAAGTTAACATTATCTGTGTGTTACTATGTTTTTGAATTAATTTTGTTAAACATTTCCCAATTACATTTTAATCTGGTCCTGATTAGTACTCAGGAGGGGCTGAAGCAAGTTTGACACCTTTGCTTTAAAATGTGCAGAGCACTTTGTATACATCCTTTACCTTAGCTCTCTGATGTAGGAATCATAGGTGGTGCTCTTATCCCCACAATACAGAAGAGGAAACTGAGGCTCAGAGAGGGAAAGTGATTTGCCCAGAATGGCACAGCCAGTTAAATGTCAGAGCAGGATTGGAACCCAAGTCCAGTATTCTTTCCTCCATGACCTCCCCTACTTGATCGTGTTATACCCTTTAGCCACCATCCAGTCTTTCTCCATTTCACTTCAAAACTTAATTCAACAATGGAGTCTACCCAATGTCCTCTTACCTTATAGTCTACTTCCCTAACCCCTAGCGGGTCTTGTCACTGGAGTCTCATACCTACCCTGTGAGTTAGGTAGGGTACAGAAGCTCAGAGAGGTTATACTGCTTAGCCCAGATCACACAGCTAGTCATTGGTAGAGGCTGGATTGGAATCCAGATCTTTTGATCCCAAGGTCTAGTTCTCTTTTTTTGCACCTCATGAACTCTGCTTAAAATCCTCGTCGAGTCCTCATTGCCTACTGATTGGAGCTGAGAGTCCCTCCCTTGGCATCCAAGGTGCTTTGTGATCTGGCTTCAACTTAACTTTTCCAGGCATCTTCTGCTCTTCTCTAATAAAAACCCCGTATTCTATCTAGACCGTTCAATATAATATCCCCTGACACCTCATTTATGTTCTTACCTCTTAGGCTCATGATGATTTCTACTCCCAAAATACCCTCCCTTTTCTCCACCTAATGCCCGCTCATCCATCACCCCTTCTGGGAAACTACTGTCATAGTCAAAACCTTCCCTAGCCACTCCTTTGGACCTATAATTGAAATTAAATGCAACCTATACTTTAGTGTTGGTGTGGCAGTGAATAGAGCCCCTTAGAATCAGGGAGCCCTGTTTCAATCCTGCTTCTTAGCCTTACTGTGTGACCCTGGAAAACTCACTGCACTTCTTTGTGTCTCAGATAATAACTCTTTAGGACTTCTCTAGTAAGTGAGTCAGAGATTGTGACCTGTGTTGGAAGACGGAGTTCTCACAATGTGGGGACCAGGAGTTCCCCATATTGAGGAAATCACATATCCATCACATGTAATGTTTTCATGTCTTATCTTCCTCAATAGATTATAACCTCCTGAAAGTCAATAACCTTGTTTTCTGTCTCTTAGTATCTCTTATGTCATGTAGCCCAGTGCTTTGGACTTTGCAAATATTTAGTAATAATAACTCACATTTACATAATGTTTTAAGGTTTGCAAAACACTTTCTTCCTAACAATGCTGTGAGGCAGATAGTGTAAGAATTCTTATGCCCATTTTACAGAAAAGGAAACTGAGGCTCTGAAAGGTTACCATCAAATGAGGATAGTGTAGGAGGTGAGGGAGACAGGATGGTATAGTGGATGGAGCACTGGACTCGGAATCATAGAGATCTAGATTCTAATCCTGCCTCAGACACTAGCTGTGTGACCCTGGACAAGTTGCCTAACTTCTCAGCCTCAGTTTCCTCACCTGTAAAATGGGGTTAAAAATAGTGCCTACTCCACAGGGTTGTTGTGAGGCTCAGATGAGGCATAAAAAGCACTTTATAAACCTTAAAGCACTATATAAGTATTAGCTATTATTGTTAAAATTATTGTTGTTATTACCTGAGTTGCCGGTAGTCACACAACTAGTACAAGTGGCTAAGGTGGGACTCCAACGTAGGTCTGCTGATTAATTCAGTGTTCTTTCTGCTGTGCCATTCTGTTTCTCATAGAGGGGCAAAATAAACGTTTGCTCATAGACAAGTGTGAGGGTTTGGGGGTAGGGGGGTTCTGCCTATGGAAATATGTCCAGAGAGGAACTTTGAACTGGATTTTGGGTCTTGTGATTCCTTCTAATTTTCTTATAGTATAATATTTAACCGGGTCTCATCCATTTTGAATTTATTATGGTATATGATATAAAATGTCGGTCTAAGCCTCATGTCCGCCAGACTGCTTTCTAGTTTTCTCAGATAGAGAGCCCTTTCCAAAGTAACTTACATCTTTGTATTTATTGAATATCAGATTATTGAGCTCCATTATTTCTGATTCTCCTTGTCTAATTTGGCCCATTGATCTACTTTGGGGGCCTAGTAATGTAACTTCACCACTTTTGTTATCATACAAAGTGAAGGCCATTGTGTTTCTTTTGTTGGAAATATTAAGAGAGGAATTGTTTGTGTCTTTCTCAGAGCTCCTTGGCTAGATGTGTTCCTGACCGGCCAGAGGCCCGTGGAGGGAACGCCATGGTCAACCGAAGAGCCTTCCTTTTCAGGATGGCTCTCTTCTCCAGAGTGAGATCGCTTCCTTGGCGGACCAGCCAGCCGAAAGGTTGGCCCTGGGCATTTCTGGGCACAGCATGTGAGGGCACCGTCACCGATGTGGGGACTGAGGGAGAGCAAAGAGAGAGAACAAGCTGGAAGGAAGAATCAAGCCAAAATCTTGGGTTTTGGCGGGAGAGGTAAGGCTGCGCCAGTCTTCATCCTTCCTTCCCTTTGAAGGGGCTTGAATCTGTGTACCCTGCTGTGTTTCTGTACCCCTGAAAAGTAATGGGGGCATTGCAGGAATCTGTGGAGACATCTGAAGCAAGCATCCTCAAACTGCTTCCTTAAGTAAGTCAGAAGAATCTAACATGAGTGCTTTGAGACCATGGAATACCTCCTTAGGTATAAAGAGGCTCTTGGCAAGGGGTCGATCTTGAATCGAGGAATCTGCCTGCTAGAAGGGGCCAAGGCAGACATGTTGAAATCTAGAGAGTCTAGATAGGTTAGAAGTGAATAGTGTGCTCTGGGCCCCATAGCAGTCATTGCATTCCCCACTTAAAGCGATCGTGTGTTGGTGAAAATTTGCATGTAAATCAAATTATGTTTTCAGCGTATTAGACAGATAACTTTTTTTCTTGGTGTAGTGGACAGGGTGCTGGCCTTGGACTTGAGGTTCAGTCCTACCACTGCTGCTTATCGTCTGTGCAACTATAGGCAAGACATCTCAATGTGCCTTGATTTCCTCATCTTTAAAATGGGAACAATAACTAATGCCTTACCCCATAGGGTTGTTGTGAGGCTTAAATGAGATTTTATAAATAAAATGCTTTGCAGACTTCCAAGAGCTTTGTAAACATCTGTTATTAAGAAAGCATTTATTATTAAGACACATTCTGTTCTTTTTCTCGTTTCCTATCTTTTTGCATTGATTCTTATAATTATTTGTGTGTATGTAATGAGTATATATAACACACATATGTCATTCTATATACATATGCATATTGTACATACATACATACATAAAGTAATATTGCATTAATATTGTGCATTACACAATAAAATAATATTCTAGTATTATGTAACAATATATTATAGTATAAATCATATAGCATAATTATCTGTTATAGTACATATTATATTCTAATGTGCATATAAGTATATAATTCTAAAGAATAAACTTATATATACATACATAAATACACATATACAATATGCGATGTGTATATTTATCTGTTAATATAAATTATAGATAATTAATATATAGTAAATAAAGATATATAATTAATAATAAAAGTATGTGTGTGTGTGTGTGTGTGTGTGTGTGTGTGTGTGTCCATTGCTGTCACTTCCCATTTGGGGTTTATTCTTTAAGAGAACCCTATGGTAAATCCTTTTGAAATGTGATTTGTCACCTCCAGTTTGTCTGTGTGCTAAGCCTTTTGTTTTTTCTCCTGACATCGTGTTTGTCCACCTATTCCGCTGTGCTTACGTGTACATTTTGAGAAAGGTCTCGTCACCCGGTCAGGACTCCACGGTCCCCATCTTCTTGGGAGCATGAGACACATCAACCATAGAGGACCATAGTGGTAGTGGGAACTTTAGTTCTGCACCCAGAGACTATCTTGCATGTGGGGGCATTTGAGAAACCTTTGATGGGTGATGGGGTGAATGACGCTCAAGCCCAGTGTTTTCCCCTCAGGTTAGCAGATCAGATGTTACCCTTGTGGAGACTGAACTATGAGGAGCAGCTGAAGGTAGGAGGCTTGTTGTTGCCTTGAGAGGGAATGTGCTAGAATTTTCTGGGTGGTAGCAAAGCAGCCTAAGAGGCTTTAAAAAGGAGAGCTGTCCCTGGGCTCAGAGAAGTCTAGTGGAGACCCTTAACTGTGGGTCATGCACGTGCTGCCTGTTAAGAGCAACCTTTGGTCTCCAGGACTATTTTACTTGGCTCCTTCCAATCTTTTCCTTTCTCTTTGATCATATTCAGTTACCTGAGTGTCAGGTCAAGTCCGCAAACATTTATTAAGCACTTACCATGTGCCAGGCACTGTTCTAAAGCACTGGGAATACAAATACAAGCAGAAAGAAAGACAGTCCTGCCCTCAAGGAGCTTACATTCTAACAAGGGAAGAAAACCTATAAAAGGAAGCTAAGGAGGCCAGGGGAGAGAAGAAAAAGCATGAGGGGGCAAGGTGGAGAAAGTGAGGAGAGGAAGGAAAACATGACTGGCCTGTGTATTTTCCTTAAAAGTGGAGGTTCTAGGAGGAACCAGCCAATCAGAAGAAATTTTCCTGTGCCTAGAACCTCCTTGCCTCAAGCCTCCTCATCTTCTCCAACAGATGTGGGCATCTAAGTTACAGTTACTTCCATTAGGGTAGGTGGAGCAGGCAGACCTGTGATTTAGGGAACTCTCACTATCAAAACCAAGATTGACAACTCATGTCTTACTTAGTGCCTGGGGTGTGCCCATGGTCACACAGCTAGGAAGTATCAGAAGAAGAGCGCCCTGACACCAAGGCCCGACACCTTCTATCTTCTGTGCCCAGCTGCCTCTCGTGATTTATGGTCATGATGGTTTTTTAAAATACTTCCATTAGGGGCAGCTAGGTGGCACAGTGGATAGAGCTCTGGCCTTGGAATCAAGAAGACCTGAGTTCAAATGTGGCCTCAGACATTTGACCCTTACTAGCAGTGTGACCCTGGGCAAGTCACTTAACCTTGATTGCCTTGCAAAACAGAACAAAAAACTTCCATTCATCGTGGTCAAATAAGATCTTTGTAGAGCACTTAGCACAGTGCCTGGCACATAGTAGGTGCTTAATAAATGCTTATTCCCTTCTAATCCCTTCCTAGTCATGAGCATTGCAAAGTAGGGTCCCATGAAACTTTTTTGGGTGATCACAAAGAACACATGAGCTAACTATTTCCATTTAACTGCAACTTCTTATAGCTTCTACTGTCACTTATAGTGGATATGTTTAAGTATTTTCCCCATATTTTAAATTAACATTCATTCTAAAAAAATTCTGAGTTCTAAATTCTCTCCCTCCCTCCTGCCCCTCCCCCACCCACTGAGAAGGCAAGCAATGATATCAATTATATATATAAAGTCACATGTCGACTTTAAAAAAGAAAGAATGCCTTTTGTTGGTGCCTTTTGTGTTTGCATTATGGTGATCCCCTCAGAAGCAGCTCAGCAGTGACATAGTGCCCAGAGCACTGGTCTTGGGCTCAGAAAGTCCCGAGCTCAAATGAGGCCTCAGGTACATATTAGATGTATGACCCTTGGCAAGTCATTTGCCTCAGTTTCCTTCCTTCCTTTCTTCCTTCCCCATTCAAATTTCTCATGAAAAAAGAAGAATAAGGGGAAACATCCAGTACTATATTTAGTAATCTGTAGCTAGGTCCTAATTAGTACAAATAATGAATTCTCTTCTCTTTCACCCCTCCCCCCAAAAAGGTCACATTTTTAAAATTCGCATTGCCGCTAGGTTGTGCACTGGATAGAGCACCAGTCCTGGAGTCAGGAAGACTCATCTTCCTGAGTTCAAATTTGACCTCAGACACATACTAACTATGTGACATTGGGCAAGTCACTTACCCCTGTTTGTCTCAGTTTCCTCATCTGTAAAATGAGCTGGAGAAGGAAATGGCAAACCACCTCAGTATCTTTGCCAAGGAAACCCCAAATGGGGTCACAAAGAATTGGACAGAAACAACTGAACAACAACAACAACAATAAATTTCCATTGGGCTGGGACCAGTTACTGTATTTTACATCGGAGTTGTTAAGTCCCATTGCAACCAGATTAAAATGTAATTAGGAAATATTTAACAAGATAAACAAAGATATAATACAAGGTAGATAATGTTAATGATGTAGTTTTCTACCTCAGTAGTTAGCCCTGGCTTTTGTGGCTCCATATCTCTTTGAGTATAATGCTACTATTTTAGATAATTTTAAACACAATATTCTCTCCTATTAAGCCCTCACTGCTCTGTTCAGAGGGCAGAAGTATATTTCATTATTTGTTCTCAGGGGAGTTTTTTGGTTTTTCATTTATTCAGTTTGCCTTCCTTCCTTTTTGGTGAATTTTTTCATTTACAGTGTTATAGTCATTCTGTGTATTCTCGTGGCTTTGCTTTTTTGTCACGTCAGTCAGCAAGGAGCATGACCACATAAACCCTTGTTTATTTTTCCCCACCATAGGTGAAATTTGAAAGTCTGAAGAAAAATCTGGAGACTCTAGAAAGTCGCCTCTGCAAGATTGGTGCTGGTGACCCAGCGCCCACTACAGCAAGATCTGAGAGGCCGTGTTCTCGTCTCCACCCTTTTATGCCTTCTGTAAGTTCCTGCCTCCCTGTTGTGTATCTAAGGGAGATTGCCTCCATGGAGGCCCAACAGCTTTTAGGCCCAGTGACGCCTCACTGGCTGGAGTCCGAGGTTTTCTGACAGTGTGCCCTCCCGAGCTGCTGTGCACGTCATCAGAAGGAAGACCGCTTCTTTCTTTTAATACTTTTAATACCTTTCAACCTTGGCTTTCTTTGATCTGGTTTTCCCTCTCTGTCCTTTCTACCCCTGACAGCCTGTCATCCATGGTTACAGAAATAAATCTTCCTTCTATATAAACCGAGGCCCAGATGGAAACCCAAAGACTGTGGGGCACTACCTGAAGTCTTGGGGAGGTGAGTCTAAACCTGTGACAGGGAGAAGTAATGAACCAAGGATCCTGGGGTAAGGTCCCCAGGACGATAGAGCATGCACCATAACAGTGCCGGGCCTTTGGGTAGTGACCAGGAGAGAACAGAGGTGGTGGCAGGGAGGTTTCTTGGCTCTGCTCAGTCTTTATCATAATTGAGTTTTCCTTTTCCATTCTGTCTTCCATCCCTGGAACAGCCTCCTCATTCCAAAATGACCTTTCTCATTTTGAAATCCTCTTAGAAACCAGTAGCCTCCCTATTGCCGTTTGTTAATGTTATCCTAAAGTGTTCCAGCCCAATCCAACCAAACCCAACCAGCATTTATTAAGTACTGCACGGTCTGTGCCAGGGTCCCGAGCTAGGAATACGGAGACCAACTGCAATACAGTTCCTGTCTTCAAGGAGCTTACATTCCACTGGGGGAATGTAGCATGCATACAGATATGTGTGTGTATATGCACATATGTATGCATGTATGTACAGGTATCATTATGTTATTGTATTATATATACAGTCATATATGTGTGTATAAAATATGATAATTTGAGAATGGAGTGAGCACTAATCGCTAAAAGGAACAGAAAAGACTTTCTGTAGGGGTTGGTACGTGAGCTGAGCCTTGAAGGAAGTGAAGGATTCTAAGATATCTTGGTGAAGAGGGAGTGCGTTCCAGGCGTGGAGGATGACCCATACGGAAGCCCCGAGGTGGGAGACAGAGTGTTGAGCTGAGGGAACAGCAGGTGAATAGTGGGAGGGATGAGTAAGGGGGAGAGAAGTCGTCCTGTTTCTCTGAGGTACTTTCCCATCATGCTCAGCCTGTTTCCATTCCCAAACTAATGGGATTTCCCAAAAGGGAGTTGCTCTATATGGTGTCTGTGGCCCTTACATTAGAAGTTATCAGGTCAGGGGGTGTGGTGCTTTTGTCTTACCCTAAAGTGCTAACTGAGCAGCAGAATAAACAGCTGCTATTTACTGTAAAGTCTGGGGAAAAGTGTAGACCGGCTGAACGAGTATCAGGGAAAATAGCTGTGAAGGACTCTAGAAAGCTACGTGGCTCAGTGGATAGAGCACTGGACCTGGAGTCCGGAGGACCAGCTGTGTGACCCTGGGCAAGTCACTGGACCTCGTTTGCCTCTGTTTGCTCATCTCTAAAGTGGGGATGATTATAGTACCTGTCCCCCAAGGCTCTTCTGAGGTTCTAATGAGATGATACTTGCAAACTTGAAAGTGCCAAATACACGCTAGCTGTTATTATCAATGCAGGGATTCGTTGTGGCCTCTGGAGCTAATGATGAAGCATGTCTCATTCCTCTCTGCATAGAAGTGGTAGACTAGACATGCAGACTGGGCAGACATCTTCAGATGTGGCTAAGATGTGGATTTGTCTTGCTCAACTACTTGTTACAGGGGGGAATTATTGTACGTGTGTGCAGGGGAGGGCAGTCATTGGAAAGTGGTGTTGAGATATCTATCTGTAAAGAGTGTCAGTGAAACGTTTACAAGGGGAAAAAATCCAAGTATCACTGAACCACTGAATCTGAGAGCTGGAGGAGCCCTCAGGGGCCATCCAGGGCAGCCTGTACGTGAACAAGAGTCCCTTGTACCGTGGGCCCCTCTCAGTCCTCATCTAACTTTGCTTTGAAGACCTCCAGGGAGGGGTATCTACTGCTGCCTGTTCCACTTTGGGACGACTTTAACTACTAGAAAGTTTTTCTGTCGATCAAGCCAAAATGTGCCTCTTTGAAACTTCCATTCTTTGCCCCTAGTTCTGTCCTTCGGGGCCCAGAGGAACAATGTTAGAAGCCCTTCCACTGCTTGAAAACCTCTGTCACACCTAACCCTGAGCCTTCTCTTCTCCATGCTTTACAACCTCATTTCCTTTAACTCACCTTCCTGTGGCACCAACTCTCAGCCCTTCATTGTCTGGTTACCCTCCTGGATGCACTCCAGCTTAAAATCTTACAATCTACTCCCTGTAACTGAACACAGTTGTTCAGATGTGGTCTGACTAGGGCAGAGGACAGCATCAGTAGATGATCTTTTTAAGAAAAGCCAACTTCATGGCCTGGGATTCAGTGCCATGGGGTTCTCTGTCAGGTAGGACTTCCCCGGGTTATGCATTTCTGTGTCCGTTGAAAGAGGGAATTGGGATTGTGGGATGTGTTGTTTCCAGAAAACCGTGGAAGAAATGGTAGAACTGAATCCTTGTCTTATCTTAGGGTCGAATGTTTTCTGCGTACAGCCTAGCCATCTGAAAGATATCCCTGAAAAGCACAACCAGGTAGCGCAGGTAAGAAGGGGCGAGGACTCCTTGGGGATGACACCAAGCACTGCTGTGTGTAGAAGCTGGGTAGTGGCCAAGAAGGCGAGGGTGTTAGCCGCCAGTGACCCCCAGGGGTTGGGGTCTGCTTTGTTGGGGCACCATTCAGCTCACCAGCTCTGAGCTAGAAGGGGTGGCCCAGTAGGAATGGGGCTCTATTTTTATCTATATCAAAGGCATTTGGAAGGGACTGAGAATAGAATAGGGAGATAAATGCAGGGGAGAGATGTATTCGTATCATATCTCTTGTCAGAGGCATTTGGAGGGCAGAACTGAGAGGAGTCCTAAAGAGGTTTTGGGGTGGGGAGGTAATAGGAGATATGCCCATATTTAGTCTATCTCATCTATCATTTTAACACAGCTCCCCTTATCACCTCATCGGGTCTTCAGCCCATTTCCCATCTCTCTCCTACGTTTCTTCAATGCCTCAGATATCTGAGAAGTAAATTAACTCTCATTTGTATAGCATATTAAGGTTTGCAAAGCACTTTACTCAAAGTAATCCTGTGAAGTAGATGATGCAAATATTATTTGCCCCATTTATAGGTGGGGAAACTGAGTCCCACTTAGGTTAAATGACTTCTCTGTGTTACCCAGCTAGCAGATGGCAGAGCTGGTATTCCAGACTTTTGACTTCAAAGCCAGTGTCCTTTCTACCCTACCATAAGGGTGGTCTACATGGATTTTATTCATTTATTCACTAATAATTTTTGATAGTCTTTTTTTTTTCCATTGTTGTTGCTTCTCTCTAATTTCTCTCATTTCCCCATGTGTCCTCCCCCACCCCCTAATCTCCTATGCCCCATGAATGCTCCCTTGTAATAAATTATAAAACAAAATAAATCAAAACATTGGCCATGTTTGATAACGTACTTTTCATTTCACACTGTAGTCTAACACCCCCCTCTATTAAGAGATGGGACACAGAATGTCGAGTTTAGAAATGAAAAAAAAGAGATAAAAGCAAAGAATGTGTCTGCAATCCTGTAATTTTAGTCACCATTACTGGTTTTCTATACAAGTTAGAATTTTGGATATCAAGTTCAACAAACATTTATAAAGCCTTATTGAGATCCTTGAAGTGGGATCCTATTTGTATGTACCATAAGGAAGGAAAAATTAGATTATCTAATAGGTTAGTAGATAGGGCAGCTAGGTGGATGAGTGGATAGAGTACCGGGCCTGGAGTCAAGAAGACTCATCTGTGTGAGCTGGCCTCAGATATAGTAGCTGTGTGACCCTGGCTTCAAACACTTACTAGCTTTGTGACCCTGGGCAAGTCACTTTACCTTCAGTTCCTCATCTGCAAAATGAACTGAGTTTGCCTCAGTTCCTTATCTGTAAAATGAATTGGAGAAGGAAATGGCAAACCACTCCAATATCCTTGCCAAGAAAACCCCAAAAAGGGTCACGAAGAGTTGGACACAACTGAAAAATGGCTATATAGCAGCAGCAGATATCCAGTTATAGGAGTTAATAGGGTAAAGGGGGGATCATTTCTATTGGCTGTAAATAATGGAATAGAAATACAGTCTTGGGGTATCTTATCAGGAATGGTTGCCTGAAGAAGATGAATGGGCCAAGATGGAAAGTTTTTTGTTTCTTGTGGAAGAAGAGTTGGAGGTGTTAGAAATTCATCCATACAGGGAACTCCTAGGATGGAAACTCCTTCCACCAGTGCAGATCAATAACTTATCTCAGAGTCTCTAAGAACTGTCTGGGGGCCCTAAGAGGTTAACTGTCAGAGGTATGACTTGAACGCTGGTCTTCCTGACTCTGAGGCCAGCCTTCTCTCTACTATTCCACCTTGCCTTGTGACATTAAATGTTACTACAACTGGATCTTGATTAGTGAGAATATTGAATCCCTTGAAGTGATTGCATGTTTTCAAATTTGCACCATTTGTAGTTACGTAATTACAAAATTATGTCAAATGTGGTTATTGGTTCCAGCCCAGTGAAAATGTGCAGAGGGGATTCATTATTGGCATCAATCAAAACCTAGCTGTATAGATAAGATAACGTTGCTACTTCTTCAAGAGGAAAAACTTTTGGGTATGTATGAAAAGTGAGAGAGTTGAGGTCCTCTGATAAAAAGCCATGGAAGGTGGGTACCATCTGCTTTGTACGTTTTCTTCAAAGCCCAGCATTGTAGGTGCTTAACGATCAGAGGTAGAAATGACAGATTATTCCTGTAGTGGAAAGAGCAGTGGGTTTCCAGTTGGGGGGATGGGGTGGGACAGGGTAGCTTCCAGTCTCAACTCTGTTCTCTACTACCTGTGTGACTTTAGGTAAATCTTATCTGCTCTCTAGTACTCAGTTTCTCTATTTGTTAAAAAAAAAAAAGAAAAAAAGAAAAAGATGTTGGACGAGATGCCTTCCAAGATCCCAGTGCTACATCCTGTCAACCCTCTTCTTCCTTTTTTCTCAGTGCTTTGAGGCATTTCTGCAGCAGTCCACATGGGGTCTCTCCACTGATTCTTGCAAAGCGGGACCCTGGCATGAACTCATAGTGCGCACCACCTTCCTTGGGCACACGATGGCCATTATCATCTTCAATCCCCAGGAATTAAGTCAGGTGAGACTCTTGGTGCTTGGCCTAGGGTAGCATGGGACAGCTGCTTGAGAACAGTAGAGCCAACATTGGCTGGTGACAGTGACAGAAACCTGATGCAGGGTTAGAGTGTGAGAGGAGACTTATGGCATGCCGAAGCAGGCTATTTAACTATGCTGGTGTTTTTGAACTGGGTTATTGGACCATCTCCCCATGACCCTCTTGGAGGGGTCATGAAAACCATTTTACCCATGCACATCAAAGGTATGCTGGAGTCCAAATGCAGTCCTTGAGGGTAGCTCTCAGCTTAAATCTCTGCAGATTGGGAGAAGTGGGTATGGAATAGGGATCCTAGGCCTCTCTTATTTTGCTCTGTTTCTAGAGAGCTTGACATTACTGCAAAAGCCTATGGGTAGACTAGGTATTGCTAACTTGAAGAAATTATCAGGGAAATAGAATATGCTGTCTCTTGGCAAAGCTATGGAAACCTTCCCAACTTACAGTACTTGTTCCCAGAATATTCCAATTACAAGCTAGTCAGTGTGTGGCATGCTGACTATACCTTCATCAGTGTCCTAACTTTGTACCTCTTTTTAGGACCTAGTGATCCTAACTTCCATATTTGTTTTTCAGTTTTGAGGCAGACAGAGATCAAGTGACTTGCCCAGGGTCATGTAACTAGTAAATGTCTGAAGCTGGATTTGAATTCGGGTCTTCCCAACTCTAGGTCTGGTGTACTAATCTTCTTAACCACCTAGCATACCTGGGCAAGTCAGTTAACCTCTGTCTTTTTCAGTTTCCTCAACTGTAAAATTGGGATAATAATAGTACCTATCTCACAGGGTTGTTATGGGGATCAAATGAGATAGTATTTATTTGTAAAGAGCTTAGCATAGTGCCTTGCTCAAAGCAGGCTCTACGTAAGTGTTAGCCATAATTAGCATCATCATCATTGATTATCATTATTATTATTATTATATTATTATTATATTATTATTATTATTATTATTATTATTGTTACTACCTAGCTACATTCAAGTAGGGTTTTAGTGGGGAAAATGAACTCCTTGGGACCTCCAGCTCATCCTCTTCTAACAGAATCTTGTTAAAATGATTTTGTGGCTGGAGTTGAAATGGAACTGATGTGGACAGGTGAATTAGGGAACAAAGAATACCCTGGCCTCAGGAGGCAAAGGAGGGAGTCGGGTGGAGTCTCTTGACAGGTTTTGCTTTGGTAGCTGGTATTGGAAATAGAGCAGAATAAAGGATGTCAATGGGTAATTTCTACTTCATGATGGGATGGAAAGCCAACTCAGCCACCTGCCTCCCGTAGAATGCTTGCTCTTTTAAGTTCTCTGAGGGAACATGGGCAAACACTTGTTTTTAGGTTTATTACAACCAGTTTGGCCAAGCATTACTCTAGGGTCCATCCTGGAGGGGTTGGCAATGACTTCTTTCTACAGAAGTAATTTTGGGAAGGGCCCCTAGCTCTGTAGAGAAGTACCCTATTGTGCAGGGCTACCCATATTGATATCCCAACATAGGGTCTCTCTGTAATCAGTCTTTACTCAGAGCTTTGTTTTGTGTTCTGGGCAGGAGGAGCTCTGTGTTCAGAAGGAAGAAATAAAGGAGTTCTTCTCCACGGGGCCTGGAGCTGTGTGTGACTTGACCTCACTTTATATGAAAGAAAGGTAAACAAACAGGGTGGCATCTGGGAAGCCTGCGGCTCTTTGGGTTCTGGATCCTCAAAGTGAGTCTGTCAGGAGCTGAGGGCCAGGAGCAAGCGGGGCTCCCTCTCTTTGAACTGAAGCATAGTGCAGAGTTGGAGAGGGGCTTAGCCTGCTTCTGGGAGCCCTCTGGAGGGTCCTCCTCTAGAGCTCATGTGGCCGTGGGAAGGCTCCATTTCCCAGCAGAGCTCCTGTGAAGCCCAGATGGAGGTGACTGGCAATGAGTGCTACTGTCTCCATGGTGCTCTTTTCTCTTGTCTTTGGTTACCAGGACCCCTCGCCACCAACAGCTAACCCCCTTCCAGCTTCTCACTGGAGAGCCTTACATCTTTGAAGATATCCTAGGCTTGAAGGTTCGAATCTCTCCAGGAGCCTTTTTTCAGCTTAATACATCTGCAGCAGAAGTTCTCTACCGGACAGTGGGAGAGCTGGGTAGAGTGGACCGCAACACTGTCATCTTTGATTTTAGCCATGGAACTGGTAGGTGGCACTCCTGTTTGGGAATCCACATCCTGGTCAACCCCCAGGTACTACTCACCTCCCATGAAAGGCCCTTCCTTCCTTGTCACTGAAGGATAGTAGATTGAGTCCCACTGGACTGGGACGTTGAAACCCCTGCTTGGTTTCTCTCATTTCTCCAGGTGCCACTGGCCTCTCCCTGGCTCGGCAGACATCCCAGATCTTCAGTATGGGTCTGGTAGGGCAGGCGCTGGAGGATGCTAAATGGACTGCAGCCTTCAATGGTTTGAACCTTACCCTTTGGGTAGAGATTATTGGGAGGTGGGACTACTTCCTTGGCTGTGGAGGGGGGAGGGATAAAGGGAAATATGTAGTACTCTGATAGAAGATTTTGGAGAAATCAAGGTTGTCCCCTGGTGGGATTGTGAAAGGGGCTTTCTCCAACTTAAGTCTTCCTGCCTACCAGTGTAAGGGGAAAAAGATGGAAGCAAGGGGCTACTCTGTTGAGTAGAAGGAGAGCTAGTGAAATATTCCATGACATAGATCTGTACTTCCCCTTTTGACACTAGAGTCTCAGTCAAAAGTGTTTTGCTATAATGGAAAGTGTCCAGGATTAAGAGGCTATATACCTTTGGGTAGATGTCATACCAGCATCGCAGAATTTTTGAATTCAAAGGACCCTTGGCGGTCATCTGGTCTAGCATATACCTGACCAGAAATTCCCTTGAATTATATCCTTGAGAAATTCTCCCTCTGTCTCTACTGGAAGACCTTCTGTGATGGAAACCCACTGCTTTCCAGAGCAGATCATTCCCCTTTGGGACATTTGTAATTATTAGGAAATGTTTCCTTACATTGCGCCAAAATACACCTCTCTGCAACTTTTGCTTCTGTTGTTTCTTGTTCTGTTTTCTGGGACTAAACAGAATCAGCCTAATCTTATTTCCACATAATAGCCTTTCAACCTTTGGTCTGTTTTCTTCTTGTTGTTGGGGTTTTTTTTTGGGGGGGGGCTTGCGTAATTGGAGTTAAGTGACTTGCCCAGGGTCACACAGCTAGTAAGTGTTATGTGCCTGAGGCCAGATTTGAACGCAGGTCCTTCTGAATCCAGGGCTGCTGCTCTATCCACTGCACCACCTAGCTGCCCCCTTGGTCTGTTTTCTCATATAAAAGATGGCAACAACAGGATGCATCCTGCTACCTCATAGGGGCTCTTGGTTGGATCAAATGAGATGATGTATATGAGAGTGCTTTGAATTGTATAAAGCACTGTCATCAATTTAGTGATCAGCCATGATTCTAAAGGACCAATGATGAAACACGCTGCTCATCTCCTGACAGGGAGATGATGGTCTCAGGATGCAGAATGAAACTACCATTTTTGGACATGGCTAATGAGGGAGTTTTGTTTTGTCAAGTTAGCTTGACTGTGCATATTTGTGAAAAAAGGGTTTTGATTTTCTTTTTCAGCAGCAGTCAAGGGGGGAGGTTGGAGGGAGAAGGAGGTTAGGGATGGGATTCCCCTCTCCTTCTCTCTCCTCCCAAAAAAGAGAGAGAGTACAGAAGGAAGGCAAGAAGGAATCACATTGACAAGCAGGATAGCTTTGAAAGTTACATCCTGAATTTATTTAAAAATGAAAAGCAAGTTTTCATATGAAAGAGATTAAATTTAGTTTTGTGTGTCTCCTTCTGTCCTACAGTGTAATGGAAACGTTCATTTTAGTTGGTGTTTGTCAAGTTCAGAATTAAAAAAAAGATGAAAACATTTTTAAAAATATAAAGCAAGCACCCTGTAAATACAGGCAGTTACTATCCTAGCAGTATTCAGAGGTACGATAGGGCTCAGGGAATAAATTGGGAAAGTCCTGGCTTCTGCCCATGCCCAGGAAAGATGAAAATCCTTCTGAGGGCTTCTCTTCTCTGTAGGCATCACCAACTGGGAATCTCACCCTGGCAATATGAAGGAGATTATGCCGCAGTTGTTAGAGTCCCAGGAGGATGGCCGGTCACTCATGGCTCTGGTGGACCCATCCCAGTGTGGACTGAGTAAGGGCAGATTGATTCTGTGCTGAAGAATATTTTTCCCTTCCCCCATTTCTACTTACTTTATTTAAAAATAAACAAACGACTTTTTATTGATGCCTTTTGTTTTTGTTCGATAGTCATTCCTTCCCCCACCTCTGACTGAACCCTCAGATGTGGCAAAAGAAAAAAATTAAGCCAAAACATCCCATGCAGAAACTATGTCTGACAATACAATTATTCTAGTCCACTAGCCTCCCACCTCTCTAACACTAGGGAGGAGTGCCATTTTGATATCTTTTCTCTGGGACCTCCATTTTTTTTTCCATTACTCAGAATGTAGCTTTCTTTTAGGGATCTTTGCCTTTGCAGTCATTGTGCATATTCACTCGGTGCTCCTATTTCACCCTGCTTCTTGGCCTGCTTTGTATTTTTCCATCCTCCCATCATTGGAACACCAAGTGTGTTCCAATGGTGCTCCGAATAGGCAGGCTAGAGTTCAGCATTCTGTCTATCCCAGAAGCCCTTCCCTCTGACCCAATGTAGTCTGGAGTTCAGTTTGGCTGGGGCCTTTCAGTGACTATCTCCCACAAAGAAACAAGGGTCTGTCTGTAAGGACCCTTCAGTTTCCATTTCATCCTATGAATTTCAAGCTATTTCTGCCTTCAGGTAACAGAGTGGTTCAGGACATCCGAAACTGCAGAGCCATCCAGACGTTGGTTTTTGTCTCCTGCAGACCCTATGGTAAATCCATCAAAAACATCATTAAGTAAGTAAAACCTGAGCTTTGAGTATTGTACAACCTCTTGTAGAAATAATAGGAAACAGTAAAGCAAAGGGGAGAAAGAAAGTGGTTGGGGAGTACTTATTAGGCTCACTTACTCAGTATGTGATTGTATTTCCCGTAGTCTTTTGAATTTACTGAGGCAAAGAACTAGGTGCTTCTCAAGAAGTTTATGATCTAGCTGTGCGGGAAGTCTTAGATGTCTTAGAACTATATGAGAGAGGCCTCTATATATGTTACTGAACTTGGAGTCAGGAAGACCCAGGTTCAAATTCTGACTCAAACCCTGAGTCATCCAAAGTGACTCCAAAGTCACTTAACTTCTCCATACTCCAATTTACTTATCTATAAATTGAGGGAGTTGACCTCATGGGCCTGTTTAATCCCTTCGAATTCTGAAATTGATGATCCCATGATTCTAAGTACTCATCTGATATGACAGGATGGCTAGGTGATCCTGGGCTCCCCAAGGCTAGGCAAGCCGAGCAAAAATACTGTCAGATTTGTTCTAAGCAAGAAGGCCTCTAAGGCTTGTTCTAATGACAGACTGTGTCTTCTGTCTGAGGACCAGCCTAGCTAAGTACAGAGATACTCATCACCAGCAGGTTGACAACTAGGTGATGAATTCTTTGGCCATGGCCACCTTTGTTACAAAAAAAATCTAAAATGTCTTTTGTCTTTTAGCGCATGAGGCCCCCTTCTGTTCCTACAACAAAAGTCGCCCAAAAGGCTTGGAATCACATACTTTTTAGGCCATCTGTAAGCTTGGTACTCTAAATATGGGGGTCTTATCCAACAACTGACATACCACTAGAAGAACTGACGTTCTTGCAGTAAACGAAAACCAAAACTATAAGGAAGTTGAAGGTAAATAGAAAGATGGTTCCCAGGACCTCCTTGGAGAGGCATCAAAAGAAGCTGATAGAGACAGTTTCATCGTTTTATGGAATACTTGTTTATCTTATCTTGTGATGCCCATGATGAGCATGTAGGAAAAAAAACTACCAGAAAGAGAATTTCAACTTACATACTGACATCTGTTCCCATGGATAAAATGGTAGAGAAACTCTATGAAGAACTTGACGAGATGTTGCACTAAGACAATATATACATTGATATATTCATTGCAAAAGTGGGAAATGGAGGACAGTGGAAAATATGTTGGAAAAATATATTTCAGGATTAAAGAACAAAAGAGGCCCCAAGCTTGTAAGGTACTCAGAAGCTTCAGTCCTATATTTTGTAATTACTTTCCTCGAGAAAAACATTGTAAGGTGTGTACTGAACATCACAATGAATGAAACTGATTCTATCCTCATAGAACAACTAATGACTAACAGGGGAGTCATTTCTGAATCAGTTGTCTTTGGGTAGTTGGAACATCAACTTGTTAGAACAAAGGCCAAATCAACATGAAATTAGAAGAAAAAGTGCTTTTCTTCAAATATGAAATAAAAGTGTTTTTAACAATTAAAGTAATGCCAGTTTGACCTATTCAGACAAGCTACTGATCCTAAAAACAAATGGAAAATGGATAAATGAAAAGACATCAACACAGGATATCTTCCATTTCCTCTGGAAGTTTAATCCATATAAAGTAGTTGCCACAACAAGGAGGCCACAAGGGTTCAGAAACTGGCTCAGACAGCGGATATTTGATTTCCTTGCCAAGCAGAGAATGATTGCACCCAAAGACCTTCCAATAAAACATCTCCCATCTCAAGATCATACAAGGCTCTTGGTCAGATTTCCATTTCAGAGATAAGTTGGGTCAACAATCCTTTGGTTTTTGGTATCAATTAGTATTATTAGGCATAAAATGAGGAGGTGTATGGTCACCAAAAGGGTTCCCCACTGTTGTAAAGGATGCCCTGCGTAGAGTCCAAATGAAACAAGCTTTGCTTGTGGCTGGTGAGGTCCTCCAGGTGGTCCTGTTGGTTGATGACTGTGCTAGAACTTGATGCAATCTACTGGATGAAATCCACCATCTCTTTAAAGACATCATCCTAATAATGCACACCAGCAGTCTAAGTCAGCTAAGATCGCTGTCGTCCAGACTTTGACATAAAGTTGGATGAGTGTTGGCAAATAGTGACATTGGACAAAGAGTGGGGCACAGAACTGAGCCAGGAGGAAGAGCGAGAGCTAGATTGTATTTGAGAACTCTGTGCAATACTTGATCACTTAAAAACCCCCGTAGGTCCAACTAACTTCCAAGACTTGCATAATTATAAATACTTTCTATTACAAGCAAGGGTGCTTAACCTAGGGTCCATGAAATATTCTGGTTACCGTGTTTCCGTATAATTGGCCACCTTGTGTTTTTTATTGTACACATTTGAGAACATGGTTCTGACAAGAGGACATTGTACACAGTAGAAATTTTCAGAATAGTTGCCAATATACAGAGGTAGGTGCTTCTTCACCGGGATTTCTCAGTACCAGTGAAGTTACAGGTTAGGTCAAAGAAAAATTCTTCTGATTATGCTATATGACTACAAATTGTGGGCTACCAAAGTCCCTAGAAAATTCAAAATGGCAGGAAACACAAAGGGTACTTCGTGATAGGTATAAGTAAGCTGCAACACATTTCCAGTAATGACTTGTGGACAAGAAGTGGTGTGAATGATCTCATCCATGATATGTGGGATTAGGAAAGGAGGTGGGTTAGTCATGTAGTGTGGGAGAAGGATGGACAGACATTCTGAGTGCTAGGTTGTTACCTAGAATGTTAAAAATCCTAGAGCAGTGGTGTCACACTCAAATAGAAATGTATCCCTGCTGACTGCATGTTGACTTTGAAAACTACAAATTAGCATTATCTGTGTCTTATTTTTATTTATTTTGTTAAACATTTCCAAATTATGTTTTCATCTGGTTTGAGCAATGTGTTTGCCTCCTCTATCCTATAGGATAGTCTATAGCAGATTACATAGACCTTTTGTGGAGATTTCAGGCGAAGATACAGATAAGAATTGCTCAGGATGAGAAGCTACGGAAAGGTCATGACCTGTGTTGTTGTATTGAGTGCGCACAAAATCACAGATCCGTTTTTTAAATTGTTATTTTTTTGAAAAAATCCACACAAATGCCAACAAACTCAGGTCCAAATACTCACAATCCCCCCAAACAGTTAAGAGGTTGTGATTAACTGCATGCAACTTTATCCTTTAGTAGTTGACTGTTGGTTCAAAGAAAGGAAAAGCATGTGCTTTGCTTTAATTTCAATAAAAATAATGCCAATATTGTCCAATATTTTTTATCTGAGTTTTTGCTATTATATAACTGGATCCCAATTAGTACAAATAATAAATTCCCTGAGATGGACTCATGTATTTTAATTTGTACTATTCAAAGTCATAATTATGTAAAATGTGGTAATTGGTTCCAATCCAATAGAAAAATGCAGTGTGAGTCCGAATAATGAGACTACTTCAGAGGACTCTTTATTCACATTTATTGGGACCTAGCTTATATCGTCTTCATTTGTATAGTTGTAGTCCTTTTATAGATTGTCCTTTCTGCATCCTTCCTTCTGCATCACTTCATTCAAATCTTCCCAAGTTCCTCTGAATCCTGCCTTGTAGAGAGAAAGACTCTTTAGATTCTAAAACCAATAGTGGGATTGTTGGGTATGAAAAATTTTCCTCTGAATCCTGCCTTGTAAAGAGAAAGACTCTTTAGATTCTAAAACCAATAGTGGGATTGTTGGGTATGAAAAATTTGTTATCTTTGAGTAATTATAAATAGTTTCCATTGCGAGCAAGGGTTCTTGGTTGTTTTTTTTCTTTCTTTGTTTGTTTTTTGCTAGGCAGTAGGGTTAAGTGACTTGCCCGGGAGTCACAAAAGTATCTGAGGCTGGATTTGAACTCAGGTCCTCCTGACTCCAGGGCCAGTGCTCTATCCACTGTGCCACCTAGCTGCCCCCAAGCAAGGGTTCTTAACCTAGGGTCCATGAACTTGTTTTTAAAATATTTTGGTTACTGCGTTTCAGTATACTTGGTCATCCTGTGTATTTTATTGTATGCATTTAAGAACATGGTTCTGAGTAGGGGTCCATTGGCTCTAGCAGAGTGCCGGAGAAGTCCAGGTGAGGAGCCCCTGCCTTGGAAGAGTTCTTTACCCTGAAGTATTGAAGCATGCTAGCACAAGTAAATACTTCATGCTTTTCTCATGTATTTGTAAGGTGATACTTCCAACTGTTCTGTGTCTGTAGGTTGTGCCAGCCCCCAGACCCCGATGAGAATCTCCTTGGTGAGCCTTTTGTTCTGAGACGAGCCATGCCAGTGGACATGTTCCCCCACTCCCTCCAGTGTGAGCTGGTGATGCTCTTCACTCGGTGATCAGCTCTCCCAGAAGACCACAGGTTGCCCATTAAGGACTGAATGTCAAGTCAGGATCTGCTGGGAGAGGAAGTGAGCTTCTCTGCTTGGCTGTACCTTGAGAAGACAGTTATTTGTTCCTCCTCTAAGAAGAAAGGACGTAAAAGGCTTCCTGATCAAGGCAGGGCTCCCAGTATCTTGCCTCCAGTGCACTGATTGTGGCCTAATTGTTTTTGTATCTCCCCTACCCTCATCCTGTGCCTAGCACAGTGCTTTGTACATAGTAGGCCCTTAATAAATTGTTGTCAATAAATTGTGTCTGAATTGTTTGTCTGGATTTAACTAGTGATATATTATGGAGTGTTTTGAATGGAATAATATCTGTGACCATCCTTATTTGATCCTCACAACAATCCTGTGAGATGGGTACTATACGTATTATTATATCCATTTTACAGAGGAGGAAACTGAGGCTTAGAGAGGTAAAATGACTTGCCCATGATCACACAGCTAATAATTATCAGAGGGAAGATTTGAACCTAGGCTTTCTTAACTCCAAGCCCAGCACTCTAACTTCTATGCCATGCTTTCTCTCAAGGGGAACCATTCCTTCAGATTTTAAAGGGCTTGGGACTTAAAGTACCCCTGTTAAAATGGAAATCTCCCTAGGCAGAGGGAGAGTTTTTATTAGAGATGTTAGGAAAAGGATTGAGATACTGGATTTACCCTCTTTGGGGGGCTAAAGAGAGAGGGAAGGACATGTGAAGAGAAGAGATTTAAAAGAAAGTGGGAGAACTGGTGTATTGGAAAAAACAATTTTTTATTCTCTTTTTAAATTTTTTTTTTTGGAAAAAGGTATGGTTCAATCCGTATTCAGATACTATCACTTCTTTCTCTGGGGATAGAAAGCATTTTTCATCATAAGTCCTTCAGAGTTGTCTTGGATTCTTTTTTAATTTTTTTAAAAAAAAATTTTATTTTTAATTTTCAACATTCATTTCCATGAGATTTTGAGTTTTAAATTTTCTCCCCCTCCCTCTCCTCTCCCCCCATCCAAGACAGCATGCAATCTGATATAGGCTCTATTTATACATTCACATTAAGCATATTTTCCCATTAGTCAAGATGTGAAGAACAATTAGAACTAATGGGAGGAACCATGAGAATGAAGCAATAAAACAAAACAACAAAGGAAAAGGAGAACAAACAGTATGCTTCCATCCAAAGTTTTAGAAGGAATACTTGATGTCTCTACAGGCAATCTTTACCTCTCACCTGGGCTGTTGCATCAGTCTCTTTGGCTTTCCAATTCTCTAATCCATCCTCTGAACACCTTTTCTTTAAGCACAGGTCTGATCATGTCACTCTGCTTAAGAATCTTCAGAACAAACTCCAGCCTGGCATTTAGAGCACTTAGGTGTCCGGTACCCGTGTCAATCAGGAACAAAGAAATATTAGGAAGCTTGGCCTCCCCATTCTCACCAGGTGATAGAAGCCTCAAAAGCTGATAGTTCAGGCGTCTTGGAATCTGTCTTGCTCTGGAGATGGCACTGTGGATAGAGTGCTGGATCTGGAGTCAGGAAAATGAGTTCGTAATCCTCCCTCAATACTTAGTAGCTTTATGACGCTGGTCATTTAACCTCTCTAAGCCTCAGTTTCCTCATCTTTAAAACAAGGACCATAATAACACCTATCATACAAGGTTGTTGAGAGGATAAAGCAAGATAATATACTTGGTATGGACACTTTGCAAACTTTGAAGATGTATATAAATGTTACCTATTTTTATTTATTTATTTTTTTAAGTGTGGCAATTGGGGTTAAGTGACTTGCCCACAGTCACACAGCTAGGAAGTATTATGTGACTGAGGCCGGATTTGAACTCAGGTCCTCCTGACTTCAGGGCCAGTGCTCTGTCCACTGCGCCACCTAGCTGGCCCTAAAATATTATCTGCTCTGCATTTTTTTTTTTTGGTGAGGCAAGTGGGGTCAAGTGACTTGCCCAGAGCTAGTGAGTATTATGTATCTGAGGCCAAATTTGAACTTGGGTCCTCCTGACTCCAAGGCTGGTGCTCTATCTACTGTACCACCTAGCTGCCCCAACAGCAGACTTCAGACAGACGCTTTGGCAACTGTTGCCAACACAGCTATGCTGAAAGCGTTAGTCTGGGTGTTGACCTGGGTGGCTGACCTGGCCAGCATGCAGCTTAGCATCTCCTCTCCTTTTCCTACTTTTCTCCTACACCCTAATCTCATAGCAAGAAATCTCTTCAAGGGCAAAGGAAGAAGAATATAAAGTATGTACAGAGGTATATATTCAGATACCATTTTTCTATCTTGCCTGTTATTCTACTGATTTATTTCCTTCAGTCAAGACTCCTGGGTGGATGTGCAGCTACTAGGAACATGCTAAGCTGGGTAGTCAAAAGGAAGCCACTAAATATGGACAAGGAAAAAAGATTAAATTAAGGAGACTGTTAGCATTTGGTAACTGGTTCTCATTTTGTGAACACAGCCAAGCACCATTTCTGAGCCCAAACCAGAAGTTTCATTTCTTAGCCCTTATCCTCAAATCAAGCTTTGTGGACAAATGGGTCTCAGAAAATAATGCCTAGAAAGTAAATTCACAAAAGAGAAAAGATTAGAATGCCAGATTTACTGTGTTCCAGTTTAATTCAACAAACACCTGTTGAGTGCTATGTGGAGAGTTTATTTTGGAAGAGCTATAAAGTTTAAATAAGAACTTTTTCCTGATGGGAGTACAAAGTCTGAGATTAGAAATGCATATGATTCTAAATGGATTTGGGATGAATGTGGCACAGAATCATAATTTTCAGAACTAAAGGAGCCTTAGAAATCTTTTAATCCAAACTAATTTTACAGAATTGGAAAAAGAGGCTCATGGAGAGTTAGGGGTTTGCTAAAGGTCACACAAGTACATACCAGAGCCAGGAATAGTACATAGATCTCTTTAATTCCCCAAACTACATGTATCCCTAGATCAAACAGGCACTCTTCCAGATGTCCCTTAAAGGGGGTAGCTTTTTCCTTTCTGTAAATGACAGGTATTCCCTCTGCCCTGCCTCCCCCAGTCATTTCGTCTATTTTGCTACTTATCCAAGTACATTGTGCGCTAATGACCTGGCATTAAATCCCAATTGGAGGTACCCTTCTCAATAAGATGCAAACCTTTGTGATTATACAAGCTGCTTCCCTGCCTGTGATAATTGCTTTGAAATTTGCTGGGGATGAGTGAGACGGCCATCTATCTATATTAAATGACATATAAATACTCTAGACCACCATCTCGGTTCCAGGTCAGCCCTAGTCCTTATGAAGAGGTCCATCTCTGCCACTACCCTACCCTTGACTATAGGTCCAGCTTTCAACTTAACTCTTGCATCAGGTGAACCACATCTGAGACCAAGCAACTGCCTCTACATGTACTGCAGCTCCCAACTCCTCAGCAGTTTTGACTACTGAAGACCCAGAAAATAAAGTTCTCATAGTTCTTGGAAATGTCAAATAGCTCAAGGCTGGAAATGGGTATTGTTTTATCAATGGAAATGACATTAAAGAGATGCATTATTACCATGTGTGATCTTCTATCTGGAATGCACATTGATGAGGCGGGAGACAAGATGGCAGCAGCTCCGTTTATTTTTAGCAAAGCACTCACTTATATAGTAAAATAACAAGAACTCTGTCTCATGTTATAATGACGTATAACCCATGCTGTGCTCAAGGACAGTGCATGCACAGTCTGTGCACTTACCTACCACCAATCACAAATATACTGTTAATGACTCATAAGTAACTAGGGAAATTAAAGAGACATAGGACGGAGCACGAAACCAGGCAACCTTGTTCGTGGACCAGCACCCGAGAGGGGCCTCAGCCCTTCAGTGAGACCTCATGAACTGTCTGTGGCCCTCTACATCCTTACAGTTCCCTAACAATTCCCCCTTTTTGTTTTTCCTGGAGACAGAGCATATGAAGCTCAGTCCCAAAGTCCTTAATCTGATTAGCTATGCATCTGAGCAAACACAGTCCAAAACACAGCATGGCCAGCAATAGCAAACATAATGGCAATAAAGAAGATAATAAAGACATAAGCCAGTGTCCAAGGTTATCAAAAGGGTTATCGAGTTTATCTAGCCAATCAAGTATATGTTGGGCAGTTTTATCTGGCATCAAATCTTCATCAGCCGCCTTCACAATATCATCAGCAATTTTGTATAAATCATCAATATTCAATGCAACAGTAGAATTCCCAAACAGCCCATTCAGATGTCTACGTATTCTTTGCCAATCCCATTGGGAGTTGTTATATTTAACATTGGTAAGACAAATAAATTCATACCTATAATCACATTTCAAATGTGTTCTATATTCTAAAATATCCAATTCATCACCTATTTCGATAATGGTTTCCTTCATTCCCTCAAGTATGTGGTAAAATCCCTCATCTATCCTTTTTTGTGCTTGAAAACCCTTTGATACATTGTGAGCTAATTGATTCATAAAATCAGCTTGAACCATTTCATTTCTTGCTATAGATATAGAGTAGGATAAAGATACAGAAGCAGTTATGATAGCTACAAGCAAAACAATTCCTAATACTACATATGAAATACATCTCTTCTTCCAAACAATTGCTAATTGATTTCTTTTGGTCCATTATTCCAAAAATATGATCAGAACATGACTCATACCAATCTTTGAAAACTAAACTTTACTGTAATTGACCCATTCTTTTGAGGTGTAAAATTAAATTCCTTCCCCAATCCTGCAGATGCATTCCCTTGTAAAATAACCTCAGGTTGTATCTCTCCCCATGTAACCAGTCTTAGCCATGGCAGTTTTGTCACAAAAGTCCATCTTGTTGTATTTCCTGTCTCTGCTGCTGTGTTTTGTACCACTGCCGACAATAACGACAAGAGTCACAGCTTGGTTACAAGTTTGTGTAGTGCCTTCTTCTTATTCTTTCGACTCCTTCAATTCCTGGCCGGCCTGTGTTTTCTTTTCTGCTTTCCTTGTTCCTTCTGAATGGATAATGCGGACATCCTTCGTTCTAACCCAGGGTTCTCCATCACCTGTGGAAATAAAAACAAACCCTTGCCCCTAGGTTAGCACTTGCCCTGGGCCCTGCCAGACACCATCAACATCTCTCCACATGACTTTCATATTGTGTTTAGGAAAAAGGAATCTGTTTGATTTAGTGGTTTCACTATTACTGTTGTCATTTCCTGCCAGATATTTCATTGCAGGAGAGAGGTTACCACTATCGAATTTTAAGTAATTTATAGTGTAGAGTGCAGTGTTTAATTGATGCCAAGGGGTTCCCTTAGCTCCCCCTTTTTGTTTTTGGAGCACCATCTTCAATGTACGATTGGCGCGTTCAACTATGGCCTGACCACGAGGATTATAGGGAAGGCCAGTAGTATGACTAATAGAACTCAATACAAAACTTTTTAAAACCCTGCAAAATATATGCAGGACCATTATCAGTTTTTAAGCATTGAGGTGGGCCAGCGAAAGAAAAACAATGAAGCAAATGATTTATAACATAGCGGACAGCCTCACCCGCTTGAGCAGTAGCAAAAATAAAGCCTGAATAAGTATCAATAGAAACATGAACATACTTTTGTCTTCCAAGGGGAGAATAATAAGTAACATCCATTTGCCATAAGGCGTTAGGCATAAGTCCCTTGGGGTTATGTACATCAACATGAAAAGGGGGCTGAAAAGGCACACAGGTAGCACAGCACTTAACAATTTCATGTGCTTGTGATTTTGTTATGCCATATAAAGTTATACTTGTAGATTGTAGAACAATATACCTAAAGTAAGCAAAGGGTGATACCTTTTTGTACTTTTTCAGGGGTAATTATAAATCTACAAGACTGAAAGTCTTGTTAAAACTTGGGCATTAATAAGGAGAGTTTGATAGTAGTAGGACAACTGCAAAGTTTATCATCCATATAATAAATTATTTTTGTCTGGGAATATTTCTGACTAACAAGTTTAATAGTGTTATGAACAAAATTTTGGCACATGGTAAGAAACATTCCTCCTTAAAGAATCACAATAGGGAAAATGGGAAATACTGATTTAATGAGACAACCATACCCAAATTCAAACTCAAAACAAAGTTATTTATAGTTCTAAGAGTCTTTTACCTCAAGCAGTAAGTTTCACTAATTATGGCGTAAAGCCAGATACAGTTAGTTATTTCATAGAATTACAATAAGCAATAAAGATTCACTAAGTCTCACATATATAAGAAATTTTACTTAACATCCTTTCTTCCCCACATTTAAACCTGTCTTGGTGAAAAAACCAATTATTAGAAATTATTTACATAAAGCTGCAATTTCTCAGTAAGCTAAATGAATTGTTTAGGAACTCAATAACATAAACAAATTCTTTTCTCAGAGCAGACGACCCTTGGCACACAGCTGGTAGGAGCTTTTGGCAAGCTTACAAAGTTAAGGGAATTGCTTTGTGCCCTTCCTTTTCACTCAGAAGTAATTAAGAATCCCAGGTCTTAACTTTAAAACAGTAACTTCAAATAACTTAGTTAACAATTTGGTAATTTTCCTGAGTGATACTTAAATTGTTTTAGCTCCAAGCTGTTCTTTAATCATAGGTAAAGACGGACATACCTGATTTTCTAAATGACAGTTACAAAACATCATAGAACAAGATTAACTGGACTTCATAAAATAATTTAGCTGGATTTACACAGTTATCTCACTACCTTTCAGTTTCTTTTAGTTCACATTTTAATAACATCTAAATTATTAAAAGTTGCTTGACATAACACATAGAAGTATAGCAATTTGTAATGAGACTAGATTTTCAAAACTTGAAACATGCATATTACTAATGTGAATGAACTAAATTATCTTTAGATTGTGTTTCAATACTTAAAAACTTTTCTTTTTGATCTGAAGAGGAAACTCGACCTCCTTATCTTCTCCCTCTTTCTCCCCCACCCCAACCTGGCCAGGGTTAGAATTCAAGAGAAAGGAAGAGAATATTTTTCAACATAATCTTTCAATCTTACATCCAAAGCTTTGGCCAGAGCCTTAGAATGCAAAAAAGAAAGAGAATTTTTTCTCCAAAAGTTTCCAAATCTTTTACTCTCAAATCATCTATTCCTGCTATTCATGCAAACAGATTATATTATTCTTTCTATCCATAATTTTCTTATTCCTGTATGCTTAAACTTTCTTGCCTTTTGTCAAATTACATAACCTAAATAATGAAGTACTTTTTCTCCCATTCTTTCCCCCATCCACCCGCTCCCAGGAATGCGGCTGGTATTAGGGAGGGGGAAGGAGAGAAAGTCACTAACAGCATTTCAGAATACAGTTGCAGCCCTTGGCTGCCTGGCAGTGAAAGATCAAACAAATTATAAACATTAATCACAGACCATCATTCACACAGACACAGACAAACATAAAACAAAATGACAGGGAGACTCCAAAAGTGAAAAACTTGTCAGAAATTTCCTGCACAAATGAAATAATATTATTTTTATTTTATTTTATCTCCTCTTTTCATGGTATTCTAAAACCAGGCAAAATCTTTCTTAAGGTTTTGGTTTTTATAAAAGGCAAAACAATCTGTAGTTGTATAGGGACCTCTCATCATGCAACTTGAGTCTGTCTTACAGCTCAGGGTATGGAGAGTGTGGAGGATGTTTTGAAGCTTCAGCTACTTTATTACCTACTTCATTTATAATTTCTGTTTTGGTTAACGTTTCTGCAACTTTTCCTCTTTTGGTGGTGGAACAAGAGGCTTCTACCTTAATCACTTTTGTGGCTAGAGACACCTCTTCTGATTCTTGGAGTCATATTTTAAGTATATTCTAAATTGCAAAAGTGACACTGGAAAAACGCCAGGTCCATACTTTTGAAAATAGTAATCACTTAATTGTTTGCCTACTGTTTCCCGTTGCTCTAAATCTAAGCTCCCTTGTCTGGGGAGCCATGGAGATGTTATATCAATAATATCTAGAAACTCTCTTATTTTCTTAGGAGTTACTGAGCACCGCTGTTCCTTGATCACTTGATATATTACTCTAACATTCTGTTCCTTATCTGAGAATTGACCTAGACTTTGCCTCATGATAAGACTTTATCTTACCTCTCTGTAGTCTTCTGCCACAGGATACAATTTGGAGACCTCTCACAAGGAGGCTGCCTGGCTTCCCAAAGACCTCGGTGTCCTGACCGTGGGTTGTTTTCTCTGTTTTCTGTCCTGTACTGCCCTTCACTCTTCAGGCTAAAGGGGGCCCCACGTTGGGGATCGTGGGTTGTTTTCTCAGCTTCCTCCCGCTGCCTGCCCTTCAGTCTTCAGACTACAAAGGGGGCCCCACATTGGGCACCAGTTTGTCGTGACCAGCTCACTCGGGTACAGAGCGTACCTAGGACCTAGGGTTTCCCAATCACCTGAAGAATCAAGACCAGCTTGATCTTCTATCTGGAATGCACACTGATAAGGCGGGAGACAAGATGGCAGCAGCTCCGTTTATTTTTAGCAAAGCACTCACTTATATAGTAAGATAACAAGAACTCTGTCTCATGTTACAATGACATATAACCCATGCTGTGCTCAAGGACAGTGCATGCACAGTCTGTGCACTTACCTACCACCAATCACAAATATACTGTTAATGACTCATAAGTAACTAGGGAAATTAAAGAGACATAGGATGCAGCACCGAACCAGGCAACCTTGCTCACAGACCAGCACCCAAGAGGGGCCTCAGCCCTTCAGTGAGATCTCATGAACCATCTGTGGCCCTCTACATCCTTACAGATCCCTAACACACGTGCTTTACTACTGCATCCTTAGAACCATTATGTCTTTCCATCAGACTTGCAGTTGATACCTTCACCTTTTAGAAGCACCTATTGCACACTGAGAACAGGGACTGCCCTGCTTTTCCACCTGTATCCCCAGCACTTAGCACTATGCTTTGCATATTTTAAGTCATCATTGGATTGGCAAAGTGAGATCACAAGATCTTAGAATTCATCTAGTCCAATCCCTCATTTTACAGGCTTCCAGTTCTATCTCCATTTCCAAGGTATTTGGCCTTGGGCAAGTGAACTTCTGTAGGTCTGTTTCCTCTTCTATAAAATGAGAGGATCAAATTAGAAAATCTCAAAAGGTCCTTTCAGCTCTAAACCTAACAATCTATGGGCCTCTCAAACTATAACTTACGGAGGGGAAATGATTCACAGAACCATAGTTGCTATAAATCACGATGTGTGGGCCTTCTCTGGTGACTGCCAGGAAAAGGAAGGTTGTTAAACTGCTAAGTAACTTCTGATCAGCCCTATAGATTAGAAATCATCTTGGAGAAAGGAGGTAGGGGAGGAAGTTAGTCTTTTACCAGAGTGACTCTCATTAGACCAATAAAGAGGAAGTATGACGTAGAACATTAGTCTTGGAGCCAGAAGATTTGAGTTTGAGTTCTGGCTCTGCCACTTACTAGCTGTGGGACTTGGGGCCTCTTTGCGTCTCTGTACCCATTTCCTCATTTGTAAAATTGAGGTGACGGTACCTGTACTTATCTCATAAGATTGTTGTGAGCTAATGTTCTGTGTTCCTAACAACTCAAGTGAGCCTCATAAGAACCCCAGTCAGGATCTGGACGTGTTGGAAGCAAGTGGGATCTAGGTTTTAGATACAAAGTACAAAACAAATGGAGAAGGGACTCAGTCTCTGTCCTGATGCAACATTATTTTTCATTTATACCATTTTATCTGTGCTACAGCAGATTATTAGCAAATCCATTACATTCAGAAACAGGACTAGAGAACATCAGTACTCACCCAGTCCAACCTTTCCCTAAACAAGAATCCTCTGCACAATATTCTGGACACGGTCATCCATACTTTGCTTGATGAGCTTCAGTCACAAAGACCTCATTTCCTCCCAAGGTGGCTCATTTCATTTTTGAACAGTTTGAGTACAGTGAACTGAAGACTGTCTCTCTGTAATACCCACCCACTCGACTTAGTTCTGCCCTTTAGGGTCAAGCAGAACAACTCTAAGTTCTATCAAGAAGGTTTCTTCACACACACCTCTCCCATCCATTAGTGCATGGCTCTCTCCCCTACTCTATGCCCCTCAGTGTGACACCCATCTCTCTTTCTCCCTATCCCCATCTAGGGCTGCTTTACTCAGCAAAGTAGTCTGTGCCCCTTGAATTACTTACGTCCCATCTCTTATTCAAAAATTCAAATTTCCTTAAACTTTATTTGGCATCATAATTTAGAGCTGTAAAGCATCTCAGAACCTAACCATTCTCTTCATTTTACAGATGAGAAAACTGAGGCTGAGAAAGAAATTACTTGTCCAAGGAAGGTTGTCCAAGTTCACGCAGGTGATCAGTGGCAAATTTGTATTTTAAGCTCAGGTCCTCTGACTCCAAACGCAGTTTTGGTTCCATTATATTATTCATGACTTCTGACCAGTATTATTTTTTAAACGAATGAATTCTCTGGTGTCAGGATTTAATTAAATGGGAATTTTGGTTGGGGGAGGGGAGGTTGGTAATTTAGGGGCACTGAACACTATGTGGAATAGGGAAAACCTAGATAAAGAGAATATTGAGAAACTTAAGGAAGTGTAGGGAGAGATACTAGGAAAAGAACAAGACACATATAAAGAAATGTTGTGACGCAGTGAAAAACTTCCACCTTTGTACCTCAATGCTCCAGTGTCAGTCTAACCCTTGACCTGTTCTCTTCTCCCCCTCCCCCCCCAGTAACTGATACTTATTCTTAATGTTAAGTTAGAATAGGCTATTCTAGCTCCTAACTTAAGAAAGTAATTGTTCCACATGTTCATCATCAGCTTCAAGGCATTTTTTGAGAAAGATGCACCAAGGACACATGCATACAGATGTTTTTATGATCTCTCTCCTACTGATCTTTCAGGCAAATACATTTCTGTATCATTTCCACTTCAATCTTATGTCATCTTAAAACGGCAACTATGGTTCAGTTTAAAATTCAGGTTTTGAATAAAACTTTTAAAATCCACTTACCTTGTTCTAAACATTAGACATCATTCCATATTTTGCATTTATTTTTAAAAAACCCATATTGCAATTAGCATGATCACGTGACACATCACAAATGCCAACTAATGTCTTCTCTTTTTGCCCAGGACATTCTCTAATCCTTCGTCCCTTAATTCAACTGAGACAGTGTTATGTAAAGTTTTACTGCGTAATTAAAGCAAAGAATAAAATAAAACCCAAAACAGATATTTTGTGTTAGAAAAGTGCAGTAATGTTTTCCCACTAATCCCTCTTGATCCCATCTGAGGGGCTTGACAAAGGAAGTCTTCTCCTACTTCCTTTAGCTTTCCTACTGGTTGGTATTCTTAGACCCATGGGAGAGAGAAGGTAACAGGGCAAGAGGACATTTATCTACTCTGCGAGAAAGGAGACTGTTCAGAGATCTCTATCCATTCCAGGAAATTTTTCTACCTCTGAAGGTGTCCACTGGCAAATTAATCATTCCTTCAGAAACTGTGGCTCAGTTTTGGGAATGAACACAGAAAAAGAGAAGAAGGAAAAGAGAAAAAACTGGGGAGAAGTCACGCTTTAACAGGGCACAGAAAGAGAAGCAGGAAGTGGTCAAAGGTAAATTACTTGTTGCCAAATTTTGCTAAGGCCTGTCCTTGTACTTTAGTAAAAGGGAAGGACAGTCTTCTTTCTTTCTCTTCTAATACATAGCCCCTGCTCCAGGACCCAGAGCTAAGACTAGTAGTAACAGGACTATAGTTCAGCTACACTATAAGTTAAAAGTAGACTTCAATGGAATGGCCTGGGAAACAAATCATTATAACACTGTTACTAGGAGAAAATACATTCCAAATAATAGAGGTGTAGATGGACTTTTGGAACAAAACCCATCCATAAGTCGGTTATTCTATGACTAGACACCCAAATGATCAAAACAGACAGTACTAACTACAGAAGTTCTGAGAAGTTAGAGAAAATAGTCAAGGCTGGAATAAAAAGGGAAAACTTCCAGGAGGAATTGGGACCTGAGCTCGTTTAATAAAGCTACTTGTTTGGCTGAAGTTTTCTACACAATCATTACAAGCCATTATAAACTCTAATGCTATTTGAACTCTAAAGGGAACTTTGTTCAGTGTGAATTCTGTGATGCTGGCTGATTAAAATTTAAGTTCTATTTGAAGCTTTGTTACCTTTTATTACTATATGTATATATATATATATATATATATATATATATGTATATATATATGTTTGCATGTATTTTTCCCCCCAGTGTGAATTCTCTGATGTTCTTGAACCTGTGACCTGTAACTAAAGGTTTTCCCACATCTTTTATATTCATAGGAATCTTCTATGGAACGAATGCTCAAATGTTTAGAAATGGTTTCAATCCAATTAAAAGTTTTCCCACATTTATTACATACATACGGTCTCTCTCCAGCATGAATTCTCTGATGCTGAATAAGGTCAGAGCTCTGGCTGAAGGCTTTCCCACATTCATTACATTCATATGGTTTCTGTCCAGTATGAATTCTCTCATGTAGAATAAGGTTTGAGCTATGGTTAAAGGCTTTCCCACATTCAGTACATTCATAAGGTTTCTCTCCAGTATGAACCCTCTGGTGGTCAGTAATGGATGATTTACAATTAAAAGACTTCCCACACTCTTTACATTCATAGGGCTTCTCTCCTGTATGAATTCTTTGTTGTTCATTAAAAGTATGATTTAAGATTGAAGGCTTTTCCACATCTATCACATTCGTAGGGATCCTTTCCAGTATGAACTCTGCTATGCTGGGAAAGTTGAGAGCTCTGACTGAAAGCTTTTCCACATTCATTGTATTCATAAGGTTTTTCTCATGTGGTTAGTAATGGTTGAAATTGAACTAAAGGCTTTCCCACATTCATTACATGCATATGGTTTTTCTCCAGTGTGAATTCTTTGATGCTGAATAAGGTCTGAACTCTGGCTAAAGGCTTTCCCACATTCATTACATGCAAATGGCCTTTGTCCAGTATGGCTTCTTTGATGTCGAATAAAATTTGAATTCTGGCTGAAGGCTTTTCCACATTCATTACATTCATACAGATCTTCTTTAATATGCATTTTCAGGTGCTGACTGAGTTGCGAAGTCTGACTGAAGGTTTTCCCACATTGATCACATCCATGATGTTTTCCTCCATCATGAATTATGCGGTGTCTAACCAGAAATGAATTATATTTGAAGCTCTTGCCACCTATATCACATTTGTGGTGTTTCCTTCCTATGAGATCTTTCTGATATGTAACAAGATCTGAGCTCAGACTGAAATTTCTTTCCCATTTATTATACTCCTGGGCTTGCTTTCCAATTTGGATTTTCTTGAGTGAAGATCACCTGCTCAAAACATCTCTCCTGAGGATGAGAGTTCCTCAGAGTTTGTTTCTCAAAGTTTTCTTTCTGCCTTCCTAATCTGTGCTCATGTTTACAGGTTTCTCCAAACTTAAGTACTTGGGGATCATCCTTTGGTTGTCTGAATATTGCCACCAGTGATCCTACTTCTTCAGAAATTTCGTGCTTTGCAGTTACTTGTGTATTATTAGGTCCTTCCTTGGAACCTGAAACAAACAAAATATAGATAACAAGTCTTTCTTGTGATAAAAGAAAACAACTAGAACAGAATTTAATTTATCCAATTAAACTAAGGGCTCTCCTATGACTGAATCTGAGTACTCATTTTTTCACATATCCATTGCAACTACCCTACTGAACAAATGGACAGTTAGTCCTTCCCTCAGTCCCTGAAACTTTAAATACCTAGTGTCATCCTTTAGGATATGCTCTCAGTCACTGACACCAATTACGATTAATTCACCATGTCAAAATTTGACACTCCCAAGGTATCTGCATGCTCATTTATTCATTCAACAATCACTTAATAAGTGCTTACTGTATACAGAGTATTGTTCTAGGAGCTAGGGAGATGCAATATTTAAGCCAGTTGGGAGAGAAAGACAAACGTGGATAACCATAATATGTAACATTACATAATAAGTATATAATAAGATGAAAAATGTTCTTTGAGATGTGAGGCAAAAGATCATCACTGGGAAGTATTAATGAAGGTGACAGAATTTCAATTGTGCTTTTTTAAAGGATGGGCAGAAATTCAAGCAAAAAAGAAGAGGGAGAATGTGTCAAGCAAGAAAGAGATATAAGCAAAGGCACAGAGGGAGGAGAATGCAGTGCATATGTTATGATCAGGTTCAGTTTGGCTGGACTGCAAAGTGCATGGAAGGTAATAATGTGAGCTACGGCTAAAAAATAGGATGGCATCAGAATCGTTGGGGGCCTTGCATGCCAGGCAGAGGAGTTTGAAATGTACTTTGTAGGTGATAGGGACTCAATGAAGGTTTCTGAGCAAAGAAGCGGTATAACTAGATCAATACATGAGGTTATTTTAGCAAGACAGACCATTCAGGGGCAGGTAGGTGGTGCAGTAGATAGAGCTCTGGCCCTTGGAGTCAGGAGGACCTGAGTTCAAATCCAGTTTCAGACACTTGACACTTACTAGCTGTATGACCTTGGGCAGGTCACTTAACGCTGACTGCCTCACCAAAAAGCAAAAAAAAAAAAAAGACAGACCATTTATCCTGTCTTCTGACCCTGTTGAAAGACTGCAGAAGTCTGAAAGATTACCCTGTTCACCTGAAGTACCTCTTCCAGCTTCCTAGTCACTCTCTTCATTGTACCCTTAGACTCCCAGATATCTGGGACACAACCCCCCTACCCAGTCTTCTAATAACACAATGATCATTGGTTTATTTTCCAAGGTAGGCTATCCACAGTCTTGGGGTCTCGGTTTCTGTACTCAAGGCCCTCTGGAACTTAAGGAACAGAGAGAAGCTAGAAGCACTGCTGAAAAATTTCTCATTTCCCTGGTGGTAGGGTTAAGGACTCAGGGAACGGGAGGGTATGAGATGAATTTATGGATATAAGCCATGGTAGGGACTCAGAGAATCATAGCTGCTAGGAAGCCAAATAGCTTATAACGTGTCTGTGTATGTTTGTGAACAAAAGCAAGATGAACCCTTAAATGGTAGCATGAAAAACTTTCCTACCTTTAAATGTTCTCTAAAGTTGAGACATGTGTAAAGAAAGGTACTCTATCCCTGTCTAGCTCTTAGGAAGAACTCTTACGGCGAGGTTCCTAGATTTGTCCTCTAATCACAGAGTTCCACTGTGTACCATACTTAACCTTGTCTTGTACATTCACTCTTAGAATCCCAGAGCTCCGGGCAGCTAGCTGGTGTAGTGGATAGAGCTCTGGCCTTGGAGTCAGGAGGACCTGAGTTCAAATCTGGCCTCAGACACTTGACACTTACTAGCTGTGTGACCCTGGGCAAGTCACTTAACCCTGATTGCCTCACAAAAAAAATGAAAACCTTGTAGGATAAAATTAAATTGTCCCAGCTTTTAGGGGCAGCTAGGTGGCACAGTGGATAGAGCACCAGCCCTGAAGTCAGGAGGACCTGAGTTCAAATCCGGCATCAGACCAAACACTTGACACTTACTAGCTGTGTGACCCTGGGCAAGTCACTTAACCCCAATCGCCTAATTAAAAAAAAAAAAGAATCCCAGAGCTCCCAACCTCTAACTCAGTACAGGAATTTTCGCTATGGTCTCATTAACTGGTGGCCATAATGCCTCACTCTGAATACTTCCAGCTCTAATGGGCTCAAGGAGAAGTTGGATATAAACTGAAAATCAGAACAGGAAGGGGCCTCAGAAGCCATCTAGCCCAAACCACGACTACACAAGAAGCCCCATGACACAAGCCCAGCTCATCTGAGGGTCAGACTGTGCACGTGGCACCCTCATGAGGCCTCTTCTCATCCTGGGCAGATTCCAGCTCATCAGTGCTTTTCCTAAAACGTGGCAACCAGCTTTCTTCTGTTTTGTTTGGCCTAGTTCTATAGCGTAGTCTCCTCACAGTTGGAGATAGTACTAAACCTACAGATATTTGAGCTGTCACGATTTTTATTGTATTGGTGCTGCACCACCACAGACACTGAACAGTTCTCTAACGATGTAAGTTTTCCACTACTTCTGCCAAGACTAATTTGTCATTGTGCCCATTATCCCGGGCTGAACAGACTGTGGTAACCTACAACTGTAATGGGATATCATTGTGTCATGAGGAATGACAAATATGAGGGATTCAGAGAAAAACAGACTTACATGGATTGATGAAAAGTGAAGAGACGACCAAGAGACCAATACTGTCTACATCATGATTACAATAATGGACATGAAGACAATAAAAGACAAGAGAATTCAGGTCAGACGTAATGACCAATGGTGGCTCCAATCTATGCTGAAATACACTTTCTTCCTCTCTATTAATAAATAGTGAATTGTAAATGCAAAATGTTTTGTGTTCAGTAAGGCACATTTGCTATAACATGTTATTTTTTTTAAAGGGACAGTACTAAGGGGAGGATTCATTGGGAACTCATTGTTAAGTAAAAAGAAAAAGCATCATAAAAAATTTTTTTTAACTGTTTTTTTTTTTTGGCTAGGCAATGGGGTTAAGTGACTTGCCCAGGGTCACACAGCTAGTAAATGTCAAGAGTCTGAGGTCACATTTGAACTCAGCTCCTCCTGACTCTAGGGCCTGTACTCTATCTACTGCGCCACCTAGCTGCCCC